AACCCAGCAGGCCCCACTCCACCCGGGCAGCTGTGAGGCTCCCAAACCTTCTCCATACAGCCTGGGGGGGAGGGGCGCACACCCAGATACACAGGTGTGCACACACCTCACATGTGCACACGGGGACGCACGCATCACACACACACACACACACACGGCCAGGTGGTCAGAGCGAACAGCTCTCCCCGACCAGGGTCCCACACTTGGACAGGGGTCCTGCCATCCACGCCGCGGGCTGCTCTGGGGAGGGCACCGTGAGGTGTATGTGTGGGGCCCCCCAAAGTGTCAGGCGGTCTCGGCACCCCCCTAGCACCCCCGCACGCTGTGCCGGTACCGTGCAGACGGTGTGGAGTACCACGGTGTTCACGGAGCCCCAGCAGCTGGGGGGGCCCTTAGAGCCCCTCTCAGCCTCCCCACCTGGACTTCTCTACCGATGGGTCCTTGAGGGAGCTAGCACCGCGGGTTCTGGACTTGCCCTGCCTCCGCCCGGGCCTGGAGCGGTGAGTCCCCACACACCCTGACGTCAGCCTGGCCTTCCGGACAGGAAACCCGGAGCATCCGGAGAGCCCGTCCACGGGCCGGGCCACTGCTGTCCCGGGAACGCTGCATCTCTGGACGAGATGGCTCCCTCCGCCCCACAAAACCCTCAGAGCAGCCCCCTTCCCTCCCCTCCCCTCCCCTCCGTCAATGGGCAGCAAACGTTCTGGTTCTGCCAGAGGGACCACCCCCAGCAAGGGCAGAGCTGGGGTGACCTGGGGCGACCCGGCCCCTCCCGCTCCCCGGGGACCAAGGTTGGGTCAGCATCAGGCCAGGCAGGGCAGGGAGCTGCCCCATCCACCCCCTAATTTTGAATCAGGCTTCAAGTAGGCGCTCAGCTAGGGTCCTGGTCCTGAGGGTCCTTCAGGAACCAACACCTGGGGTGTGGCCCGCCTCCGCGCCCGGCTCAGTTGTTCACGGGAACTCACAGGACCTTGCTGGGCACAGACCCTGTTCGGAACCCACCCTGTTCTCTTGGGAAGTGCCCGCTTTGAGGATCGGGGAGACCATGGGTGTGAGTGTCCTCTCCCGGCTGTTTGTAAGCACAGACCAGAGTGGAGGGAGCGGGTACCTAGCAGGGCGGGTTCAGGCCCTGGATCTTCTGGTTCCTGGTGGCCGCTTCCCTGTAACCACATGGGTGGGGACTCCGGGCCCCTCTGACCTTGATGCCCAGCAGCACCCCATCACCCCGTGGGCTGGGCTATATGGCTTCCTGGGCTCTGCCTGGGCGGACCTCAGGGGAGGCGCTGAGGGGGAGGCTCAGGCTGCTGCTTTGCGAGCGAGGTCCCCGATTTTGTAGGGCGTCTGGGGCCTGGATCCCAGCGGCAGGGCTGCTCACTGTCTGATCAGCTCAATGTGGAGCCTCAGTTTCCTTTTCTGCAACGTGTCAGCTACACGCGCACGGCGTGTACAGCTCTGGTTGGAACGCTCGGCGGACGGCAGGTGCAGACAATAGAACACCAGCCATACAGCAATACGGGAAAACGTTCAGAACAAAAGCAGAAACGACCTTCGGCTCTATCACCATCAGACATCAGTTCTGAAAAATTCCAGAGTCTTCTCTTCCAGCTTACCTCATATCATAGAATAGGATTACAAATTGGGAGCCTGCTGCTGTCCTTTGTAACTGTCCTTTAGGAAATCTGGATTGTTCTCAGATTTTTCCGATCGTAGATTTGTAACAACTGTCATTAATAAGTCATAAAAGAACGTGCGCATTTGCAAGGTATTTTCCTGAGGCTAGATTTTCAGTTGAAATCCATGGACGCCTTTATGTCCCCTGCCCGCTTTTAAATGCCAGTCTGTCCCCTCTTCCCAGGCCCAGTGCGTGGCATCGTGGCCACCACGGGGCACTGGGCCGGGAAGGGTTGAGCTCAAGCTCAGGGAGTTCTTTTGGAATTGCCGCCTGCCCCACACACCAGTGTGCTGGGTCCCTGCACCGCCTGCCTATGGTGCTGTCCTTGCTGGGAGAAGGCACATGGGACACAGAAGGAGCCACATCCGGACACACGAGCCTGGAGCCCCGGGCACGAGCCAGCAGGGAGGGGGCCGGAGCCAGGAAGGCAGAGCCTGGTGGTCCCGGGCTCATGAGCCTGGTCCTTGGCCATGCCGCCTGGATGGGGATTCAAGGAGGGTGTTCGTGGCACAGACACCCCGGAACCCCGGCCCTATCCCCAGCCGCCCTGTCCCTGTGGGAATTATCCAGCTCCTGGCCTCTGTCCTGGGTTCCCCTGGCTTCTTCTGGGTCAGTAAGCTGTCCCCAGAGCTGTGCACAGTGATGCACGAAGAGGCAGGTCACCGCGTGTAGACAGACCCAGGAGAGCCCTGGGGACCAGGAGCGCTTCCTTCTACTCTCACAAAACGACCCAGGGCCGCCAGCAGCCGGAGAGGAGGGCCCGACCTAAGCCCAGAGCTTCACCTCTTTCCAGTGTGACAACGTCCAAACATACACAAAGCAGGACAGCCGCTTTCCTCCCGGGGTCCCGCACACGTGCACGCACGGCCTCTCCTCCAGCCTCAGCCCCGTGGGCCGCCGCGCTGACCACTGTCGGGCCTCTCGGTGCCGGCTGCAGGACCAGCGACTCCACGCTGGTTTGTGGGACAGAGGACGACCCCCCTCGGTGTCGGCGTGTTGGGTCTCTTCCAGTTTCTGTCCTGGAACCGCTGTCCCTCAGCTCCCTTTGTGCCAAGGCGTATTTGAGAATCCAGGTCCGGAGTTCCTCATTCAGGTGTCCCTTGTCATCAGTGACGACCTTCCACGCCTCCATCCCCTTCCTCCGGGATCCCCTCCAGTGGGCATCTCCTTCTGAAGCCTCCATCACACACTGGCGCCCCGGCCCAGGCGCGGCAGCCAGCCCCAGCAGGGGTGCGGGCGGTGGAGCCCGGTCCCTCGGAGCTGCAGAGCCCGCCCTCGAGGGTGGCCTGAGTCATCGCGTCGTGAGGCCTGGACGGACGCTGAGCCTCCATGTCCCATCGTTGGTTCTAGGTTGATTTGCTGGTGCTGTTTTGTGCAGAAGAGCCTTCCCTGCTGTCCCCTCAGGCTCTTTGGTTATCCCCGGAAGGGGGTTCACATTACAGGAAGATGGGGTCACGCAGAATCCATTTCCTTTTGCCCCTCGGTTACTGGTTCTGGAGAAAGGGACCCTGACGAAAACTTCCTCCAATGGAGCAAGTGAGGTTAAAATTTTTTTCTTCTTAATTTCTCGTTGGGGTCACAGGGAGCAGATGCATTGCATACACTAAACGTGTTCAGTCAGGTGCGGCCACGGCTCCCTGGGGTCCCGCCGGGGAGAGACCCGTCCTGTGGCCGGTGGCGGCACCTCGAGCGGCCCTGACGCTTTCCTTCTTGCTGGCACGAGACGGGTCGGGTCCGCCGTGCCTGCATCTGACCCATGAGCTTTCTAAAAGGGGGACAAGGTGTCAGAGACTGAAACGCAGGTACTCGGTGCCGGGTCTTGCCGTCATTGCTTCCTGTCTGTCTGGTGCGGGAACCGTGCTAGGGAACGTTTTTACAGCACGAGACTACATTAACACTTTCAGTTCAAATTTAGCATTGTGGGTCCGTATGTCACTGATCTGATTCTGATTCCTATACATCTCCTCTCACACTGATAACGGGCTCCTCCAACATTTGTTTACTTACTTACTGGCATTATCTTAGGAAATACACTCAATTCCAAATAACAATGTCAGATTTCATTCTAACAGTAAGACTTATTGGATGATATTTATAACTTCTTTATTGCTTTTTGTCCTTAAAAAAATCCCATTAAAAACAATCTAAATACTGTGTTCCAAAGTCCTTTGAAATAAATCTTTTCTTTGGTTTTGTTATAAACTTAATATAAATTTATAGAAATTGGTGGGGTATTTTTGGTAAGGATACTTTTCTTTTTCAGTTTAAGTTTATTTTTTGAATATGAAAACATTTACATAGTTCTGAAGTCAAACCTTGTGACATCACAGGGAATCTCTGCCCTGGTCTCTGGGCCACCCTCCTGCCCCCCGGGGGCTGCGCCGGACTCCTGGAGCCCTCCTCATTCCCCACGTGACAAGCGCTCTGGGAGCATCTTTTGTCCTAATGAGGTGACTCGGGGGGCTCCTGGACGGCTCCTGGGTGGGGGCTGGTCTCCAGAAAGAGCAGTGGTGACTGGACGCTGGGAAATTTTAGGTCTGCCCCTCCCCCCACCAGATATCCAGGGAGAGGGAGGAGCTGGGAAGGGAGTCTGTGAGCCGTTCCTGGCCTGCATGAGGAAGTCCCATAAATCCCAACAGGACGGGGTCCCGAGAGCTTCCGGCTGGGGGCACACGTCCACACGGAGAGGGTGACACACCCCAACTCCGCGGGACGGAAGCTCCTGTGTCCGGGACCCTCCTGGACCTGCCCCCCATGTCTCTCCATCTGGCTGTTGACCTGAAACCTTTATCACACCTTTATTATACAACGAACCTGCAAACGTGTTTCCTTGAGATCTGTGAGTCGCTCTGGCAGATTCGTCCGACCGAGACGGGGTCGTGGAGCCCTGATTGGTCGCCGGTGGTCGGAATTGAGGGGTCCGCTGGGACTTGATTCTCGTGTTGGCATCTGAAGTCGGGAGTGTGGGGAGGGGGACGGGGGCAGGGTGTTGTGGGACCGAGGCCCCATCTGCGGGATGTGATGCTGTTTCCACGCAGACGGTGCCAGAATGGAGTTACGTCGTCGGACATCCAGCTGCAGTTGTGCAGGATTGCTTGCCGTGGGGACCAGAGCCCCCACATTTGGTGACAGAGTATCAGAAGCGAAGTGTTCAGCGTGCGCGGTAAGGAAGATAGAAGGGTGGGGTGGCTTTTCTTTTCTTTCTTATGATTTTATTTATTGAGATTAAGATTGAGAGAGATCACAAGCGGGGGAGCAGCAGGCAGAGAGAGAGGGAGAAGCGGGCTCCCTGCTGAGCAGACAGCCTGATTCGGGGCTCGATCCCAGGACCTGAGCCAAAGGCAGACGCTCCACTGACTGAGCCCCCCACTGCCCCTGGGGTGTCCTTTCGACACAAACACTGTACCAAGCTGGGAACAGTGAAGTTTCACTGCCCTTCCTGACTCTGCCCACCCCAAAATCACCATTTTTATTAGTTCTGATTTATCATTCCACGGCTTTGATTTTTTGCAAATATAAATAAATACATAATAGTCATACTTTCACCTTTTCTCAGACAAAAGCCAGCACACACCACGTACTGCATCTACTTTATCCCCTTCGTCAGTGTGTTTGGAAACGGGAGGGAGAGGGAAGACGGGCCCGGAGAGGGAACCCGGCAGGAGAGTTTTGTGCACTCGGTGGCCGGGGCTTCTAGGGAAGCGGGGCGGTGGAGGGCCGGGCAGGGAGGGACCCAGGTTCTGGTCCCAGCTCCATCCCAGCCAGCCCGAAAACCTCCCCCTTTCGATCAGTTTCCTCATCCTTCGTAGGGGATGGTGGAACGGCGGACGGGACTGAATTGGGTCCCGCCCCCAAAGTTCGTGTACACTTGCAACATCACGTCGTGACTTTATGTGGAAATAGGGTCTTTGCAAATATAACCCAGTTAAGATGAGATCGTAAGGCATTCGGGTGTGCCCTAGCCCCGATGGCTGGTGCCTTTGTGAGAAGAGGACACGAAGACACACAGGGAGAAGGCCAGGTGACAGAGCCTGGGGTGATGGGACACAGCCACGGAACACAGAGGAGTCCGGGGAGCCAGCGACAGTCGGGACAGGCAGGCAGGACCCGCCCTGGAGCCTTCCGGGGAGCACAGCCCCGCTGACACGGGGGGCTCAGGCTCTGGCCTCCAGAGGAGAGAGGGAGGTGTGTGCGTTAAGCCCCGGAATGTGGCCCTGAGTGCCAGCAGCCTGGGCCCGTGACAGAGATGGGCTCCTGTCTGAGGTCACTTTCTGCTCAGGCCCAGAGGACTCCTCCCCATTAAGTGGCACGCGGGTGGTGGAAACAGGCACCCAGGGCCCTGCGCCCACGGAGACCACCCCGGGTACAATCACCTCCCTCGATGCTCGTAATCACTCAAGTGAGAACAGCGGCTGTAAAGAGACATTAAAATATTCTCAATTACACTGCATCTCCCGGGCAAAACTACGTTTCCATAAACACTACAGAAGCGGCTCGGAGAACAGGGCTGGTGGGGGCAGCCTGTACACCGGGACCATCCCGAGCTCAGGCCCCTCTCCACGGGTGTGGTGGGACATGCTCTCGGGGCGCCCCATCGCCCCAGACCCAGCAGTTTGAAGCCGGACTTGCCTTGTTCTCCACTACCTCCCGCGACTCTCCCCACCAAGGCACCCGTGTCCTCTCCATCTGTGCATCCCTCTGCGTCCACCCCGAGGCTGCCTCAGACACCCTGCCTTTGGCTCGTCCAGTGACCGGCACCGTCACTGCCGCCCGGCGCTAGCCTGGGCTCCATCACGCACCTGCCCTCCGCGGCCACTGCCTCCGACACGTTGGTCAGCCGGCCCCAGGCAGAGGCAGGCACTGTCACCCAGCCGCACGGGCCATCTGTCCGTGGAGAGCCACAGAATTAGGACGGACAAAGTCGGTGTCTGTCACCTGCCTGGCCTGTCTCATCGCTGTCAGGGGAGGAGCTGCAGAGAAGGTCCCTTTTCCCGTCTTTCGGATGCTGCCTCCTGCGCTACGGCTCTGGGAGGGCCCAGGGGAGGCAGGCTGCAGCGGGGGGTCGGAGAACACCAGAAACGGCTGTCCTGTTCTGGGATCCCCTGGGCGCAGACATCTCCTGCCCCCGCCTGCTCCTGGGCGGGAGGGCCCTGAGCAGCCCCTGTGCCATTTGCCTACACAGGGACCATCTGCTCTCCATCTCAGACGTCCCTGGGCTGGGCAGGGTGGTCAGGGGGAGGAAGACAGGTGGGGGTACACATCTAGAGGATAAGCAGCCCCCCCACTGGAGGAGCTCACCAACATGCCCAAGGTTGTCACCATGTTTGTGGGAATCTTGGGAGAAGGAACTCACGGTTTGCAAATATTTTATTCTGACCTTAATCCCAGATCCTAGTTCTGTGATTAGGGTCCCTTCTAGTGGCTTGCAAAGATCCTTCAGGAAACAGTTGGACCGGCCTAGACGGGCAATTTCAGAGGCAACGCAGGGGTGGGGGGGTCTGCACATGTTTCTGCCTAAATCTGAGATCCCCTCCCCCACATTTCAGAGCCAGTATCCTCTCACTGGATTGCTCCCCATGACCATCTACAGATCCCCGTTTCAATACATTGAGAGTTAATGTCGCTTAGTGGTACTGAGGATTCCTTTCGGTTGCAACTGACAGGACCCCCAGCCAAGCTCATTCCAGAAAAGAAGAGTTTGCTAGTTGGCTTAACTGGAAAGTGTAGGAGGCAGCTGCCTTCAGGCACAGCTGCATCTAGGCGCTGGCAAGACAACCCTAGGTACCATCTTAATTCAGACTCTAAACTTGATTTCACTGAGGTTGGCTTTGCTCCCAGGCAAAGATGGCCTGGGAGCTCGAGGCCTAGGGGGTCCTCAGAACTCCCAGCTTGGAGGATCAGGGTCATTCTAAAAAATCCCGGGCAGGGTTCAGATTGTGTGGACTTGGGTCCCATGGCTGTCACTGAGCTGGTTTCTGTGGGTGGGGGAGCGCCGCTCTCTCGTTGGCTGGCCTCGGGTCTTGGGACCCCAGCCAGATCCCGTGACCATGCTGTGGACCGTGAGGGTGTCCCACCAACAACAGAAGCCGTTGTGAGCGCACGACGGGGTGAGGAGGCTTCACTGAAGGAAGGCAAAGAGGGACAAAGAAGACGTTGTGTCGGGGCAGGTGAAAGCCACAGCCCCTGACAGCCCGGGAACGGCTGCTGACGTCACCCCAGGAGATCTTGCCTTTCGGGACCTCACACTTCACCCAGCAGCCTCCTACCCTCGTGCCTGGGGTTCCCACAGAGCTCACGGTGCTAGGAGCACAAGAGGTGCTCTGCACGTGTTTGGGGTGTCGAGGGATCCAGGGGCGCTTGCAACCGGCAGACCACGGACCCCTCCTGCCATGTACCCCCAGGCTATAGCGCTCACCCTGGTGGACGGTCTGTGTCTGTGGGTGGGACAATGGCAGGAGGCAGAGGGGTGTGCCAGGGTCTGCGCTCAAAGCGCCATCCCTGCCCCCGATGCTGGGGTACAGCGCCCTTTGGGGGCCTGGCCCGGAGAACCCCCTCCCCCCAGCCCCGCACGCGGGTTACCTAAAGTGCTTTCCCCTTGTGCTCACATCAGCTGCTGGTCAGGATGCGCAGGCGTTTGACGCTAATGGAAAATCTGCCTTGTGACTTGCGGAGTGGCCCGAGTGATCTGGCGTGTGACAGTGAGGGGGGCCTCTCCCCAGGGAGGGCTGGGAGGGGGCCCTCTCAGCCCTGCCATGGCCACGAGGTTGGCCTCCGGGATCCAGGATGAGGACAGACACAGAAGGTTGGGGCAGGCAGGCCCCCCTCTGCCCAGCTTAAAGGGGAGTCAGCGCTCAGCTGGCCCGGCTCGACTGGGTGGGAACGGCTCCAGGATTCCAGGCGTTTGCAAAGGCAGCAGCTGCAGGGACAGCCTGGGGCCTCAGCACTCAGGCCCTACCCCAAAGCCCCCTTCCCCTAAGCCAGCCCGTCTTCCGATCAGCTGCTTGCAAACCCCCCAGGCAGAAGGCGTGCAGGAGTTGTGGAGAGATTCGAGGAGGGAAAAATGGTGCTCAGCCAGCAAACCTTCCGCAAACCCTGAAAGTGAGGGCTTCCTTCTTTGCAGATCTGCCTGTGTTTCTGGGTTTCCAGAGGCCTGGCTGGGGCTGGAAATAGAAAGGCATTGCGTGCATTCATTCACTTAGCAAATATTTACCAAGCACCTCCCATGGGCCAGGCCTGGGCCAGACGCGGCTTCTTCCTCCGTATGTCAGTGAGCAAAGCAGACAAACCCGTGCCTTCACGGAATCAGTGCCCGAATGTGGGAAGACAGGAAAAAAAAAGCAAAAAGAGGATAAAGGATTAAAGGAGTCAATCAAGAGGCGCTAAGGGCTACGTGAAAAGCCGGGCAGGCAGAAGGGGGACGGCCGGGAGCAGCGGTCCCCCTTCTGCGAGTGCCGGTCCAACAAGGCAGCGGGGGGCTGTGAGCCAAGGGCCCACGTTGCCTGCGAGGGTGGCCAGGCCCTCCTTAGTGGCTGTCGGGAGCGCAGATGGTGGCAAGGTGGCAGGGACGCCGGTGGGAGGCCGCCGTGTGACGCGGGGAGCCGTGGGCAGATCCGCGTTGTGTTCCAGGGAAGGTGCCAGCGGGGTTTCCCGGGAACGGGGAGAACTCGGATCAGGCCTGCAGCGCTTCCGCGGGGGATGCCGTGGCGGGGGAAGGCAGGGAGGGCCAGGGCTCGGCCTACCGGAAACTGGCGGAGCCAGTCTCCCAAGCCTGGAGGGCTACAGGGAGGCATCGGGGTTCCTGCCGACAGTGTGCTCTGGGGAACGATATATGCTCAGAGACCTGGGCCGCGTGGACGCAACCTTTACCGAGCACCAGCCCTGCACCCCCTGTAAAACCGGCCCCCAGCCGGGGGGAGGGGTATGGCCCCCGACACCTGGGGCAGGCTGGGCCAGGCCCCTCAGAGCCGATCCCGGGACCCCGATGACCACATGGGGACGGGGTCTGAAAGGGATGTGGCTGGGGGGTCAACGTCTTGTAAGGCAGCAAGAAATGACAATGAGGCGCCCCTCTCTGCAGCTGTCCTCCGCGGGGGCTGCACCCCCCAGGGGCAGAGTGTGTGCACGCGAGTGTGTCGTATGGGCGTGTTACACAGGTCTTCTGTATTCGTGAGTGTTGCACGCGTGCACGGCTGTCTGTGTATCTGTGTGTGCGGGTTTGTACTGGGTTAAAAAGTGACCGAGTGCGGTCATGCAGAGAGAATCCCAGGTCAGCAAGGGCTCTGCTGTGAGAACCTGCCACGCGTGGACCTGGGTCCTCGGGAGGACGGCAGCAGAGTGCGGGCTGCGGCAGGGCTGGGCTCAGACACGTGGTGGGGTGCTGGCCTGCCCCTGCAGCCCCCCACCCTGGGCTCCCGGCCCCACGGCCCTGCAGTGGGCAGAGAAGTGACTCACTGGCCGGGACCAGGGCAGAGAAGGGAGACCCAAGGGGGTTGGAGGCAGGAAGAGGAGCACACGTTTTCTGGATTGTGGGGGCACTGGGGACAGGAGGGACCCTGTGCGGAGGCCACTTCCCCTGCTGGGGCCCTGGGAAATAAGTCACCCACATAAGAGGGGCTGAGCTGTGGGCCCCGGAGCGTCCGCGGGAGTGTGACCTGTGCTCCATGGTCTGGGGCGGCCCAGGGATGCAGCGGCAGTCTGTGGGAACCGCGGCTCGGGTCTCCTGTGGTCGGGCAGCCTCCCTCTGTGCGGGCAGCCAATCTGATGGCGGCAGGAAGGATGCCAGATCATGGGTGTAGAGCGTCACGAGCAAAGTCAGAGCTGAAATGGATGCTGAGCTGACAGCAGATCGCGGTGCGCCAGCAGATAGCTTGGGACGCGCTGGGCAGGGGCTTCCGGTGATTACAGCGGGGGGACGTCATTATCACGGCCACCGGCCCCTCCTCCTCCTCCATCACCTTCCCCACCATCATGTCCTGCACCATCACGTCCTCTATCATGTCCTCCATCACCTCCACCATCACCTCCGCCATCACCTCCTCTTCCATCACCTCCTCCATCACCTCCACCATCGTCACCTCCTCCACCATCACCTCCACCATCACCTCCTCCAGCACCTCCTCCTCCATCACCTCTGCCATCATCACCTCCTCCTCCATCACCTCCACTATCACCTCCACCATCACCTCCTCCTCCATCACCTCCTCCATCACCTCCGCCATCGTCACCTCCTCTTCCATCACCTCCTCCATCACCTCCGCCCTCATCACCTCCTCCACCATCACCTCCGCCATCACCTCCTCCAGCACCTCCTCCTTCATCACCTCTGTCATCATCACCTCCTCCTCCATCACCTCCACTATCACCTCCACCATCACCTCCTCCAGCACCTCCTCCTCAATCACCTCCACCATCACCTCCGCCATCATCACCTCCTCCATCAGCTGCTCTGCCATCCCCTCCTCCTCCATCACTTCCACCATCACCTCCACCATCACCTCCTCCAGCACTTCCTCCTCCATCACCTGCTCTGCCATCACCTCCTCCATCACTTCCTCCACCACCTTTATGATCACTGTCTAATTGCTACTGTTTGGGGGCAATGACAGGACACTTGTTCACTCCATAAACTTTCTCATCCCAGACCTCACGCCCCTCTGCCCTGCCTCCACTGTGCCCCAGGAAGCTGCCCACCAGGTAGGTGACTTTGCCCACCTGACTCCTTCACCCTCTGGCTTCCAGGGGGGCTTCCTGATGAGGACTTCGCATGGAGCAGAAGGGAGGGGTACTTGTTCTTCACCAGGCTGCAGGAGCACGGATCCCACCGGCTGCTCTTTCCTGAGACCATGGCCCTGGCTCTGGTGACCACCATCCTTCCCGCCCTCCTTCGGCCTGGGGGTGGTCATCACAGCTTCTTCTGTCACCGGTCCCTCGATGCTTCAGCCGTTCTCGTGGTTCCCCCAATGCTGCCAGCAGCGCTGAAAGTGCTCTTTTCGTTAACAAATCTCTTCTCCCCACCATAGGTGGGCCATCTGGTTCCTGTCCTATTCTGAGAGATGCCAGTCTCGTGGCGTGCCAGGCACAGCACGCGCGTCCTGGAAAGGCCCAGCAGCACCTGTGCAAAACCCCCATTAAAGCATTTGCAGCACCTGTGCCTGCGGCATCTGGGCCGGGGTCAGGGACACGGTCTGCCCCGAGGAGCCCCGGGGGTCCTACGAGACAGCAAGGGCCTCGGCCAGACAGAGCCCCGCTCCAAGAGCTGGGGTGGCGAGCAGGTTCGAGGGAGCCTGTTGGAATCAGGCCTGGCTGCGATGGGGATTGGCCCACGACTGGAGGGGAGATCCAAAGTGGCCCAGGTTTCCCCCCGGGGTGCTGGGAGGCTCTGCTGGGCGGGGGAGGCAGGGAAAGACAGACCCCTCCTCCCGGGGAATACCACGTCCTCTCCAAACAGCAGTGGTGGGGGCGGGGCGGGGGAGGAAGTACAGAGCTGCCTCAGCCTCTCTCTGCGGACTTCCCTTCCTGCCTGGCTTCCCTCTTTGCTCCCTGTGCCCCGCCCTGTTTTCCCCTCACCCCTCCTCCACCAGGGCTCTGCTGTCAGCTGCTCATGACCTTCCAAAGAGGGCAAGCCCTTGGCCCAGGGCTGCCAGACCCGTGCTCAGCCTCTCCCGTCCCCTGGACCCTGGATGGGCGCCCTGAGTGGACTGCTCAGCCCAGGCCGTCTGGAGGCTCTACAGAAGAAACACGCTGTTTCCACGGGTGGGACGTCGTCATCCTCTGGGCCTGGCCTCCACCGATTGTCCTCATTCCCAAGCCTCGGGGACAGCGGACTTATCAGAGTGGGACCTCTGGCTCCTGCAGGAGGTGCGGTCTCAGGACAGGCTGAAAGGTGGCCGCCCCGGACAGGTGACGCCACAGAGCCCATGCAGCCGGGACGGGGGCTGGCCCAGGGGTCAGGGCTCCGAGTCCCTTCCTTCGGTTTCCAGGCCTCATCCCCGGCCCACCTGGCCCCAGTCGATGCCTTCCAGATCCGCGCCTAGGGGGGACCACGGTGATAGCCACTGTTATTCCCCACAAGGCCCTGGCCTCCCCGTCCTCCCTCTCTCCATCACTGGTGACCATAGTGACAGCAGCAGCCGAAGGTCCCAGCACCTGCTGGCCACCAGACCCTCAAGGGCACGCTCCTCCTGCCAACGGATGCTTCACAATGAATGCCTCCGGGGGGCTCCGCTGACCCTCCCCAGAGCCCCCGGACCCGAGCATTGTGCCGTCAGATGCCGGTGACGGCTCAGGGCACCTGTGTCACGGTGACCAAGGGATAGCACACAGCCAGGCAGGCGGGTGGGAGAGGCAGACTCAGAGTCTGGTCTTGGCCAGCCCAGGGCAGGGTGGGGACCTGCTGCCGGAACACAAGGCCTGTTTACCAGGCGGGAGGACGCCAGCCACGGGCCTGCCAGGCCCTGCGGGATCCACCCAGGGAATCACAATGGGCCCCTTGTGTCCCAGCCATCCTCCTGGGGCCACCGCGGGCCTGGCGCCGTGGACAAGGCGAGCAGGGGGTGAGGGGACGGGCAGGGAGGAACCTCTGTGTCCTTGGCAAGGCCAGAGGCTCGTGCTTGCCTGCGGGTCAGCTGAGACAGTGCGGCAGAGTGGTGGCCTCAAACTGTCCACATCCTCCTTCTGGGAACTGGGAATGTGTTACCTTCCATGGCAAAGGGGACTTCAGGTCGCCAACTCCCTGATCCAAAGGTGGGAAGGTGTCCTAGATCCTCTGGGCAGGTCCCGGGCTTCCAGGGTCCCTTAACTGGAAGAGGCAGGAAGGAGCGTCCAGGTCAGAGATAGGCTGGCTGGGAGTCGGGGGAGGGCCACGAGCCGAGGTGTGTAGACGTTTCTAGAAGCTGGAGAGCAGACCCCCGGAGTCTCCATGAGGATCCCGCCCTGCCCACACCAGCTTTTAGCCCCTTGAGACCCTGTGGGACCTCGGACCCGGGAGTCTGGAAAAGGAGACATCTGTGTGCGTGAAGCCACCGAGTGTGTGGTCGCGGGAGCCATGTGGGAATGGGATTCTGTCCCCGACAGCGAGCCACCAGGAGGCCCTGAGCACGTGGCGAGCGTGTGGCGAGCACGTGGAGGTCGCCCGCCTAAATCTCAAGGACAGCAACCTCCCCCAGGAGGGTCCAGGACCCTGCACGCAGGCCCCCCATGCCGCGGCTGTAAGCAGTAGGAGGGCGTCCCCATGGCCGGGCCACCTCCTTCCTCCCCATGGCCGGGCCACCTCCTTCCTCCCCGTGGCCTGGGCCCCGTACCCTGGTTCCTCCACTCGTGTGGGATAGGGCTTGTGGCTGGGGCAAGGGGGAGCAGGGAGCCTGTGGGATGGGCAGGGGTGAAGAAGATGGGCCGGGGAGCCTGGAAAAGGGAGCGTGTCGCTGCAAGGTGAGCGAGGGTGTGGCGGACGGTCCGACCAGGGCCGCCTGCACCTGCGGATCAAGCGGGTTGCCGGTGGGCGTAGACGTGGAGCCCGCCCGACCCAGGGCTGAATGGGGGGTGTGGGCGGGTCAGAGCCTCCGCGAGGAACCCAGGAGCAACCAGGGAGGCCTGCAAAGATGGTTTATTTTTCTTCCTTTTTTTAAAGTTTCGATTTCCTTATTTTTAAAAATTTTTGTATCTTTTTAGAATTCGTTTCAGAGATAGAGGTCAGTGAGTCATGAGTCTTATGTAACACCCAGGGCTCATCCCGTCACGTGCCCCCCGTGGTGCCTGTCGCGTGGCTACCCCACCCCGCCTCCTGCCGTGCCGCAGGACTGGGTTTGTCTCCCACGATCGAGAGTCTCTTCCAGTTTTCCGCCCTCTCTGATTTGTCTGGTTTTATTCCCCTCCCTTCCCTATGATTGTCTGTTTTATTTCTTAAATTCCACATATGAGTGAGATCCTATGATCGTTGTCTTTCTCTGGTTATTTTGCTCAGCATAATACCTTCTCGTTCCAGCCACATCATTGCAAATGGCAGGATTTCATTCTTTTTGATGGCTGAGTAATATTCCGTTGTATATCTGAACCACATCTTCTTTCTCCATTCGAGATGAGGGTTTTCTATGAGAGCAGATGTGGAAGCAGGGATAGGAGGAAGGGTGGCAGGCGCTGGGCGGGGGTCACAGGGGACAGCGGCAGTCTGGGGTGGACACAGGGACAGAGGGAAGGAAACTAGAGAGGGCCTCTTGGAGCAGAGGAGGGGTGGAGGGACCATGACAGGAGGCAGTCAGGACCAGCAGGCCAGGCTGGTGGTTGGTGTGCGGTTGGACCCGGAGCGGGGCCCTCCTCAGCCCCACCAGGCACCCCCTGACTAGGAAGGGGGCGATCCCCATTTGGAGACAGCTGCTTCTGGGTATCTCCTCAGCCCTACCAGTGTCCTGGGGTCACCACCCCGAGCAGCACATGCCGAGGGCTTGAACAGCACTGACCTGGTGGTCTGGAACAAGGCGTTGGAGGGCCACGTTCCCCCTGGAGGAGTCTGGGGGACCATCCGACGACCCTCTCCCAGCTTCTGGTGTTGCCGGCCATTCTCAGGGTCCCCAGTCTCTGCGTCCGTCCTCACATGGCTTCCCATGTGTCTGCGTGCCCTCTTCTGTCTCTGCTCAGGATACTCTCCGTGGATTTCAGGCCTATCCCGCTCCATGTTGCCCCGGTCTCAACTCGAGGACATCTGCAGAGACCCCATTTTCAAATATGGTCCCATTCAGAGCAGCGGGGTTAGGATGTGGATGTATCTCTTTGGGGGACACAAGTCAACCCACAGCATCATCCACACCCCAAAATGGATCCCGACAGCTGAGGGTCGGCCCTGGGGTCCACACAGGGGGCCACTGGGAGGGAGCTTGTCCCTTGAGCCGATGCCCCCACAGCGGACCGAGTGCCCCTGAAAGCCTTCCCTGTCCTCCCACTGTTGGGACTAGGCCAGCTCCCAGCCCCAGGTTCTCTGACCCCAGCCAGGAGGGGCTCTCTGACCCCCACCTCTCCCAGCCCCCTCTCAAAGTACCAAGGGCAGGTTAGCCATGGGGTGGAGGCCTGGTTCCGGGGGTCACTGGGGGAGGTCCCTCCTGCTCCGTGGGCCTGGACTACGTGTCCACAGGGTGAGAGACGTGGGAGGGACCCCCGGAGAGAAGGCGGTGTCTGAGGGAGCTGCCGAGGCTGTGGGGACCCCTGCCCACCACAGTCCTGCCAGCCCGTGGGACCCTCCCACACAAGCCACTGGCTGCAGGGGCCCCGGGTCCCATGCAGCAGGTCTGTCCCCCGCTCCCATGAGTGACAGACCTGGCGGGCCCCCGCCTGCCTCCCCGCGCAGCCCCGTGGGTGCGGGCCTTCTCCGGAGTTGTCCCTGGGACAGGGTCCTGAGTGGAGGGACCTGGGAACCGTCGCAGAGGAGGCCTGGGACCGGGGCAGAGCCCCCGAGGACAAGTCTGCCATTTCTCAGCCCGAGAGCCTGTGGCCCGAGTGGGGTCCGTGGATCTGGCCCCGGCCCTGGGCCCCTACCCTGGGGGTTCTCCTGGGGAGAAGCCGTCTTAGAACCCAGCCAGCAGCGGGGAGACGGTGCAGAACCACCCGCCACGGAAAGAACCCGGGGCCCACAGCCTCAGCTGTCCCAGAGCCGCAGACAAGGACTTCCGTCCCACAGGGAGCCCTGAGTCCGGTCAAGGTCAGCGTGTGCTGGGGGTCACAGCAGCCACCAAGTGCTTCCCTGCATGGCCTGTTGAGTCCAAGACAACCGCCTGGGAGGCTACGCCACCATCCCTGCAAGCAGTGATCAGAAACGTGTCCTTTGGGGTGAAAGGGCTACCCCTCCCCAAGCCAAAGGGACTCAGGCCCCTCCAGCCCAGAATCTCAGGTCTCTGCTCTGGCTTCCCTATGCCTCTCCCGGGGTGCCTGGGGGCCCCTCTCATTGAGACCTGTTCCCCAGACTCCCAGAGGCCTGCGGCAAGTGCCTGTCTGTCTGTCTATCCCCAGGGACAGGCCTATCTGTCCTGCTGACGGCACCAAGGCCGGGGCGGGAGGCCCCCTGTCTATATTGCCTTAGGAGAGGGAGGGACAGAAGGACACACCGAGGCCCCTCCTGGGTGGCGGACACCCTGGCCTGCCCAGCCAGGCCCCCCACTGCTTCCAGGGTGTAGGCACCGACTCCGAGCCCTCCCCCCACTCTGTACTGTAGGGCTGGAAGCTCAGCACGTGTACGACTGACTATTTGTGGCCAGACGCCCTTCCCACCTCCTGCCAGCCCTCCCAGGAGGCCTCAACCGTGAGTCACAGGCTCAGCTCCGGGGTCAGGCAGAAGCAGCCTCGCCCATGCAGACTTGGGAGGCTGCACCCCGGCAAAGTGGGGCACAGACCCAGCCTGCGGCCTGGAGCAGGTCGGGAGGGAAGGGGAGTT